GAGAAGGTTGACCTCCTTTGCAGCACAGGATTTATTGTATGGAGCGAGTTCTGGCAGGTCATTTTGGATTTGGACAAGAGCTTAGGAGGGCTGAAGGATTCAACTGGGTTGATGGGTAAGAAGGTGTTTGATCTCTACCATTTTAATGGAATTGCAAAATCAGATCTGAATGGAAGCCAGGTAAGCTCTGGAGGCGAGACTCCAGTTCAAAGACCTAGGCTCACAAAATTGAGGGTGTCGGTTCCTCCAAGATGGACTCCCGAAGAATATATGACAGATGTGGCGGTGTCCTCTGGTTCTGGTGGTAATGAATCTGGAGGGAAAGTCACAGAAATTGCTAAGCCAGAGCCTTCTCAGCATGCACCTCTGGTGGACTGCATAAGAACACGCTGGCCCCGTGCTGTCTGCAATTGGATAGGGTACCCGCCTAGTATAGTCTGAAATGTTTGCCAATCTTATTTGGGTACGGTTTGTTGTACTTTTATTGTTGGAAGCACGCAGAGCTCATTATTTAAGAAAGCTAGAGTGATGAGCTTGTGTGGTTTGGAGTGCCACCATTAAGATATAGAGAGGGTTCGTCTAATGTTTGGACAATGCCGATGGCGTTCTCTATGTGCATGCCGCAGCTTCAACAATCAATTCGATTTTGATTTGTCAACATGTTTTCGGAGGGGGAAAAACTGTTGTGAAGTTTATTGTCAATCCGAATTGTAAAATTAATTCATAATTATCCTTGTTGGGTAGAGTTATCAGTTCTTGGGAAGGTCTTCAATAAACAAACATCAAGTTTGTCTCGTCGAAATTGTTGTAATGATTCTTCCTGAATTACTGTTGTTACAGTAGGAAGTTTTCCATGTCTTGATATGTTACATATGTATTCCTTCTCTTGAACCTTATTCCAATATTAAAAGCTATATGCTTTTTTTGATGAGGTATTAGGTATTACAATTTTTTCCAGTGGATTTTCAATTATAAGAATTTTGAACTTACACAATTAGTTATTTTTTTGGTTACATAAGGGG